TGGCTTTGAACTCACTATGTAGCCAAGGACGACCTTGAACATGTGATCCTACTGCCTTCACCTCCCAACTGCTGGGATTACAGGAACATGATGCCATTCCCAGTGTGTGGAGTGCTTGGGTAGAATCCAGGGTTCAGTGCATGCTAGGCAAGCACTCTATCAACTGAGCTATGGTCTCAGTTATTTGAATTTTTTGACAGAAACATTATAAGCTAAAAACAAGGATTTGTTTAGGGCTAATAAATGTTACAATCTTCCTTTTCCTTCCTTCCTTCCTTCCTTCCTTCCTCCCTCCCTCCCTTCCTTCCTTCCTTCTTTGAGGTAGGCTCTCACTACACAGCTCTGGTTGGCCTTGCACTCACAGAGATCCACCTGCCCATGCCTTCTGATTAAAGGTATGTACCACTACACCAGGCCTGCCATTTTTTTTTAAGTTATCAGAAGAGTGTTTAGATTATGTACTTAAATCCACTATGACTATTGTACTTTCAGATCTTAGCTAATGATATTCTGAAATCATCACAGTTATATTTGCATGCAAAAATATTTGTTTTTCACTTTGGCCAGTTCTGTTTTCTGTTTTATATATGTTCACGTTTATTCTTATATAATATATATAATATATAATAATATATATAAACATGTATTTGGGTATATAGTTGTGAGCATTTGCAGCTCTGATGGAAAGGTGTCCTGGCAGTTGGGAGCCAATGAATACCACAAAGTCACTGTGAGCATAGCAGTTTATAGGCCTGCTCCAGGGAAAGGATTCCCCAATATAGCAAGCAATTCTGCCTCAGTAGGGGAGGGTTTCCCCAGTGAAGTTCTTACAACTCTGCTCAGATTCCCTGTAGTGTGAACACCTCTGCTCCACTAAGGGAAGGCTTCCCCAGCAAAACAGTTCTGCTCTGGCTCCAGTGAAAATTGTTACTTCTCTGCTCTGCTCCACTCCAGTGAAAGAGGTTGTCACCCAAACCTCATTCAAGATTTATTTGGGAGAGAAGAATTCAGGAGAGTGGCTGCTTCTGCCAGAGTGGAGGCAGCTCCTAACAGAACAGGGACAGGGCTTATATGATGCTTCTTAGCAGCCGAGTTTTTCCAGGGTGAAGATTTTCAGGTTGGATATTGGTTGGATTTCAATCCTTAAGCTTGGACAAGCTCAGAGATTGGCTGGATTTTGTGCCCAGGGATTGGTTGATTTTCTTGCCCAGGAATTGGTTGACTTTTATACTGAGTTGGTCAGGGGAAGAGTGTGTTTCTTTGGCTCTGATTTCAGGGTCAAAATTTGTTTCTTTCTTTGGCCATTTTTAACTTTTTGGCTCTGGTTTCAGGGCCAGGGTGTGTTTCTTTCACTGGCCCCTTTACCCTACAAGAGTTGAAAATGCTTAAGGACTTGCCTATATTTCCTGGAGGATGTTTTAAATTTTTTATTACATTTGTGTGTGTGTGTGTGTGTGTGTGTGTGTGTGTGTGTCCTGTACTATGGTGTGTATAGAGGTCAGAGGACAACTTGCGGGAGTCAGTTCCTTCTTCTCTTCATATAGGTACTGGGGACTAAACTCAGGTTATCAGGCTTATGTCTTTATCCACTGAGCCATCTCACCAATATTATTTTCTCTTTATTGTTTAAACTGATATCATGCATCACACTAAAACAATTAGAGGGCTGTGATGTAGCTCAATGATAGAACACTTCCTAGCATGTGTACGATTCTGTATTCAATTCCTAGCAATGTAAGAATTAATTAATTTAAATTAATTGATTTAATTAATTAATAGGTTTGGAGAAATGGCTCAGAGGTTAAGAGCAATGGCTGCTCTTTCAGAGCTCCTGAGTTCAATTCCCAGCACCCACATGGTGGCTCACAACCATCTATAATGAGATCTGGTGCCCTCTTCTGGCCTGCAGGGACACATGCAGGCAGAAAACACTGTATACATAATAAATAAATAAAATATTTCTTTTTTTTTTAAAGTAAAATAAGAGACAACCTTTCTGGAGCTAGGAATGGCAAACTATGGCCCTCAAGTCAAATCTAGTCTGCTGCTTTTTTTTTTTGCAAACAACATATTTAGTCATTGTTGTTTTGACACAGAGTTTTTCTGTGTGGCTCTGGCTAGCCTGGAACTTGCTATGGCAATCAGGCTGGCCTTGAACTCACAGAGATCGACCTATTTCTGCCTCTTGAGTGCTGAGGTTAAATGCCTGCAGCACCTCACCAGGACCTGGGTAACATATTGCTAATAGCTAACCTTTTACGACAGTGACTGAGCAGAGCTGTTGTGTTGAAAGCCGTGTGTGAAGACCCGTGAGGTTGAAAGCTCAGCGTGTTTCACCTTGACAGAAAGAATCTGCTGAAGTCTTGCTCTGGATGTCCTTTGTCTGTGGGAGACTCAGACATGTATGCAGGATGTATCCAATGTCCTCAGAAAAAGCAGGCTTTGGAAGAACAGGTCTGGACATTTTACAGCCCGAGGCACTTCAGACACACATTTAAGTCTGTGGCAGGAAATATAAACATTATCTGTCTTCAACTACCAGCCTCTCCACGGGGAGGAAAGCTACTCCAACAGCCAGGAAGCTGGGAAGATGTCTGCTCAGTCCTGAGCTTCTCCTTGTGCCTGGAAGTGACCGTCAAGGACCCTCTTTCACCTTGACCTGCAGGCTGTGGGTCAATAGTGCTTCCTACTTGGTCCACAGGTGAGGAAAGGCTCCAGCAGGGGAGGCTTGTTGGCAGAAAGGAAGTTTGTTTCTTTTATGGTTACTTAATTCTCCCTCCCCCCCACTTCTTTCTTACAGTCTCAAAAAATCAAAGGTGGGGGGGGGGCATAGAGAGGGAGAGATAGAGACAGATACACGGAAGCAGGAAAGATAGGGAATAAAATAATTTGGGGCTATTTTTTTAACGAGGCAGGCTCTCGCTATGTAGTCCTGACAGACCTGGAACTCACTAGTAGACCAGGCTGGCCTCAAACTCATAGAGAACCACATGCCCTAGGCTGAGATTAAAGGCATGCACTACCACACCTGGCCAGTTGAGTGATTTGCAGTTTGGGTGACCCTGTGCTCTTTAGAAGCAGTGAGTCTGAATGACATGATCCAGGGACTGAACTGGCAGTCTACAGCTCTGTAGAAGCCAGTCTTTCAAGGCTCAGGCAAACAAGACCAGGGACAACTCACTTGAGAAACTCTCATGGCACGTGATGGCTTGATGTTTTTATTGTCAAAATTGATCATTACTAGATAACAGGTCTATAACAAGAGAATTCATTTTCAGTGTATGTTCCTCCTCCTCTTCTTTGCCTTCTCTTTCTCCTTCTCCTTTTCCTCCTGCTCCTCCATCTACTACTGAACTGTATAAGTTGAATGGAGATCCAGGACTTTAGTTTCAGGATGGCAAAGGTAAGATCACTCATGACTTGAGGCAGGCAGATCTCTACGTTTGAGGCCAGCCTAGTCTACATTGCAAGTTCCAGGCCAGCCAGGGCTACATAGAGAGACTGCCAAAACAAAACAAAACAAAACAAAACAAAACACACACACCCCAAACAAACCCACAAGATCACTCATGTCTTAATGACAATCCAGAATAATGAAACAAAACAAACATCCGCCCAGAATGAAGCCCGTGGGGCAGCAGTGGCCGGGATCCTGTTTGTGAGTCTTATTGAAAACAGCAACAACACGGAAGGTTTCTAAACTGCTGTAGGGATTACTCTACCTTCAGGAGAGCGCGCTAGGCCAGCCCAGCACAAAGCCAGCTTGGCAGGCGGTGCCGCTACCTGGAAGAAGCCCCATTTCTAAAGCTCGGAGCCTCGGCTCAGGGAGCCAGTTTTGCTCCCAGCAGAAGCTGTTTGCTGTTTGTTCCTAATGATGGTTAATGTCTGAACAAACTTTACTCCCCAAGCTCTCGCCGATACCATCAGTGATGCTGGGACACAAAGACGCTAATGAAGCAGAGCCGCGTGCGGCAGAGGCTTTGAAAGCTGCCTGTGGTGGAGGCAGGAGGGAAGGAGTTGGGGTGAATGAAGTCGTTTCTCCCGAGCAGCAGATGAAAGGGTAGTGCTGGCCACAAAGGCGCTGCTGACAGCAATTACATATTTAAATTCCCCTCACCCTGTGTGGCAGGAAAATTTCATTTTATCACTTTCTCTTCTGACACGTTAAAATACATAAGCATTTGAATCCCGAGGGGCTCTGATCTCCAGAGATAAAAATAAGAGGCCGGATATCCAAGGGGGCATTTTGGCACCGGGTGACGGACAGGTAGGACATTTAGAGAACGGCTCTGTCACTCATCTCTCCTCTGTCCACGGAGAGGATGGTATGTGTCAGCCTCGCCTGTCTCTCCGCCTGGTCACCCCCATGTCCCGTGCTGATGTCGCCACTGCCTCGGCGACTTGTTCTGCCCGGAGACCATTAACTTTCTGACGGCTACAGAAATGGAGCTCTGGGGGTGGGGGCTCTGTCTCTCCCTGTTTTCGCTACCTTCAAGAAAATGGCTGTCCCTAATTACACAAAATGATAGGGAGAGCAGTTGACTAAAATCGCTGTAAATGACTGTTATTTCTCTGAATAGCTTGAAAGAATAGGTCAGCCTGGCTAATCCACTAACAGCACACTTTTCTGCAGATGCGATTTCCATCACATTTCTCCGTGCTTGGGTGCTGAGTGGCATTTGTACTGGCAGGGGAAGCAACTCCTTTTTTGTTTTCTTCTTGTGGAGACTTCCAAAGACGCATTTATGTGCCGAGTTGGTGATTTGTTCTATCGAGTAAGTCGTGCATCTGTAGTAAAATAAAATAAAATAAAATAAAAATAAAAAAAAAAACCAAGAAAGACGACTTTGAGTTGGAAGGTGACGGTTGTATCCGCCCAGTGACTCCTAAGGTATGATGAAGCTTTTGTTTGTGTTTCTTGTACTAGACAGTCTGAAACACTTGACTTCACTTTGTCCAGTTGTTTTCAGCTTTCTGCGTGTGTGTGTGTGTGTGTGTGTGTGTGTGTGTGCGTGCGTGCGTGCGCGCGTGTATTTTGGAGACAAGGTCCCATGTAGCCCAAGCTGGCCTCAAACTCACTAGGTAGCTAAGAATGACCTTGAACTTCCTGCTCAGCGTGCTGAGATTGCCAGCATGTATTAACCATTCTTGACCTATAGGGTTCTAGGCATCAAATCCAGGGCTTCACACATGCCAGGAAAGCACCCTGCCAACTGAGCTATATCTCTGTCCCCAACCCTCTACATTTAAACCCACAGTACAAGTTATTAGCATTATTTTGATTGATACATAATGCCTTAGCTGCTCATCGCTGGCCCTGCCAAGCCCCAGGTAGTCTTGGCCACATGCAGTCTTGGAACCCTCAATTCTTCTCCTTATGTAGGTGACTGTATCCTGCTAACAGCAATGGTCAGGCTGTGTGCTGGCTGCCTCACAAGAGCTGCCTTGTCCCCAGGGGGCCGGGCTGTGGTGAAGGAGTGAATCCCTCTGTCCCTAGAGAAGGTGCTATAGAAACATCCCCAGGAGTCCAGCTGCCTCTCTTCATGGTTGCATAACTGGACCTGTGGGGTGAGGGCTGTTACAGGCCAGTTCAGCGCAACAAACAAGCATTGCACGTCTATCACGGAATACCTGTTTGGAAGGTCTGAATGTGGTTTTCAGAACCCACAGCTGAGAACCACGGCACAGTTGGATGTCACTCCAATCTAAGGAATCCTCACATGCACATCATTTAAAAAACAAATCATTCAAAAAAAAAAAAAAGAAAAGAAAAAAGAAAAAGAAAGAAAGAAAAGAAAAAAGAAAAGGAAAACCCTGTTGTTTATAGTCAATAGAAAATGATGTTCACAGTAGTTCTTTTAATTGGTGTGCATGTGAATAAGATATAATGGTTCTCAATAGGTGTGGTGTATAATTCAGATGAAGGAAGAATATCTGGAGGGGCACATCCACATATGGCAGCAAGAGGTCTAGAGAGGTGGCTCAGCAGTTAAGAGCACTGGCTACTCTTCCAGAGGACCTGGGTTCAGTTCCCAGTACCACATAGCAGCTCACAGCTGTCTGTAACTCCAGTCCTATGGGACCTAACATCTTCTGGCCTCTTTGGACACTACATGGATACAGTGTACAGACACATCTGTAAACAGAAAATCCACATACATAAAAATAAAGGTTAAAAAACCACAAATATGGCAACGCAAGGCAGGCTGAAGTAAATGAAGTAATTTGCCTTAGGACAATTATTAAGGAGATATCTTTTAGCTCGACTTGTCTAGAACTCACTATGTAGCACAGGCTGCCTCAAACTCATAGAGATCTGCCTGGTTCTGCCTCCCAAGTGCTGGAATTAAAAATGTGCTCCACCATACCTTATTAAGGAGATGTCTTTTGGGGTTTTTTTTGTTTGTTTGTTTGTTTCAGTTTTTCAAGACAGGGTTTGTCTGTATAACAGCTCTAGATCAGGCTGGCCTTGAACTCACAGAGTCTCTGTCTTCCCAGTGCTGAGAGTAAAGAAGTGTGCCACCACACCCAGTTAAGGAGGTGGCTTTTAGGGATGATTTTTAATATGAATCTGGGGCCTGGGAGATGGCTCGTTCACTACAGTTCTTTCCTTGCAAACGCAAGGACCTGATTTGATCCTTAGAATCCACACAAGAAAGCTGGATTCGGTGGGGGCACACTTGTAATCCTGTCACTGGGGAGGCAGAGATGGGTAAATTCTGGGGGCTCCCGGGCCACCCAGCCTAGCCTACTCAGTGAGCAAAAAGTCAATAAGAGGCCCTGTCTCAGTGAAGATACTGGATGGCTCCTGAAGAATGACACCCTCACATACACACACACACACACACACACACACACACACACACACACACACACACACACAATATAATACCAGAAAAAAATAAAGTGATCATCACTCTGCTAGTGAGGTGTAAGTGATTTTAATGAGTTCAGAAGAGTAACCATGACTCTTCCCTAATTTATTTTAAACACACATCTGCATCTCAAGGATGGCATCATTAGCATCACATTTCCTAGGAGCCATCTAGAGGAAGTGGGAAAGAGGAGAGGAGAAACCACATGTTCTCTGCTGTGTGCTCAGCATTCTGGTCCCTGAGCTTTCCTTTGCATCTTTGATTCCAGCCTTCCCCCACTTTGATTGCCAACTCTCCCAGCAGCTTTCTGATAGATTTTATTTTGGACTTAAGCTAGTTTGCATTGGGTTTCTTTCCTTCCTTTTAAACAAAAGTCCTCAATTTACAGTGCGTCTTCACGGATGAATCTTTTCATTCCAGACTAAGAGAACATTCACATTTTGTTTCTCTTATTGTGCTCCTCAGCTGGGGAAGCTGACAGTTCACACACACTCAGTCTTGGAGCTGGAGAGGTCTGTTAGTCCAATCCTGAGCAAGTGGCATGTTCAGTCAAGACATTCTGAAATTCTGGAACAGACCATTTGGAGGCCCATTTTACAAAAATAAAAAAAAAATTATTATGTTTATTTACTTATTTAGTGTGGTGTGTGTGTGTATGTGTGTGTATGTGTGTGTGTGTGTGTGCATGCGCGCGCGTGCGCGCACACGCGCGCACTCTAGCTACATACAGTGGACACGCTTATAATTCCACCTCTGGGGAGGCAGTTAGGTGTATTCCTTGGGCTGTCTGACCTACTCCATGAACTCTGTCTTAATGAACAAGAAGGATGTCTCCTGAGGAATGACACCTTGGAGTTGTCCTCTGCGCACGTCTTTCCACCAGAAGCTGTCTTTTTATTGCGTTTTAATTTTTAGAATATTTATTTTGTGTGTATGTATATAATTTCTATACAGCATAATGGTACAGAAATTAGCAATTCATTCCTTCTTGTCACTAAGTAGAATTCAATGATATGAATATGACTTAACTTATCCACTCTGTGGATGGGCATTTACATTTTCTACTAATTCACTAAGTAATGTGAATTAAGCTGCTACTAACAAATCACTTTGTGCATATGTATTTCGTTTCTCTAGTTCAGACAGGAGTAGAATTGCTGGGTGAAGGGATAGGTGCATATTTAATTTGCTGTGTATGTATGTGTTCAAAATGTTCCCAACATGGTTGTTGCTCATCTACATTAGCAAGATGAGAGGACACTTTTAGTATTGTCAGTAATTTTACTTTTAGTTTCCTTGTGGCTTTAGGTGGTATCTTGCTGTGGTTTTAATTTGCAACTTTCTGATGAATGATAATGTCAGGACATTTCTCATGTGTTTATTGAGTCATAACTTTATCTTTGTGAAACATTTGCTCTAGTCTTTCATCAATTTAAGAAACTGTTCTTTGACACTTCTTTTTATCATAGGTACTGTAGACACAAGTCTTTTGCAAATACTTTATCTCTGTGCTCATCTTTTTTTTTTAAATTTATTATATATACAGTGTTCTGCCTGCACATATGCCTGCAGGCCAGAAGAGGGCACCAGAAGACATTATAGACGGTTGTGAGGCACCATGTGGTTGCTGGGAATTGAACTCAGGCCCTCTGGAAGAGCAGCCAGTGCTGTTAACCTCTGAGCCATCTCTCCAGCCCCTGTAGCTCAATTGTGTGAGACAGAATCTCAGTTAGCCCAGGCTGGCCTCAAATTCTCTGTTCATCTGAGGAAGACCTTGAACTTCCAATCTGCCTACCTCTGCCTTCTGAGTGGTGGCATTACAGGTATTGTCTACCACGCCTGGCTTTATGTGGTTCTGAGGATGGTTTTTAAGCAGTTCTAGGTATCAAACCCAAGGCTTTGTGTGCTCCAGGCAAGCACTCTAACAGCTGAGCCATGTCTCCTGCTCTTAATAGTGTCTATTAAGAAACATCAACTTTACAATTGATGAAGTCTTAGTCTCTGATGTTTTGGTTAAAGGTTGGTACTCTTTCTGTCCTGTCTAGCTACTTCTAAGCCACAAAGATGTATAATAAGGAGAGACAAATCATTTTCTCCTTATATTCTCAATATCAAACTAAATCATTTCCAAGAACAAATGGGTAGAGGAGATTTCCCCTCTAACATAAGCTGGATACTCTTCAATTCAGTTCAGTTCAGTTCAGTTCAGTTCAGTTCAGTACCTGGAATTAGTGTCATGTCCCACAGTCTAAGGAATATGAGACTACCCCAACTTCAGATATGTGAATCAAAATGTAGCTGCTTTGTCAACATTAACCGTGTGTAGTAACTGAAGTTGGTGTGGTGTGGCTCCAATACGAAACGTCCTCCATAGGCTCAGGGATTTGAAAACTTGGCCCCCAGTTGGTGATGCTGTTTAGTGAGGTGCTGTCTTTTCTTCTTGCCTTTCTGCACTGTTCAAGATCCATGATTCAGGGCTGGAGAGGTGGCTAAGTGGTTAAGATCATGTACTGCTTTTACAGAGGACCCTGTAATTCAAGCTCCGTGGAATCTGGTGCCCTCTTTTGGCCTCTGTGGCCATATGCACACACATGCACATATCCCCCATACCCCCACATATCACATAAACAAATCTTAAAGACCTGCAATAGGAGGTAAATAGAAGTGGCAGTTTCAGAAATTTTTGCTTTGTTCTCAGTCTTAGTGAGACAATGTTCAGAATTCAGCTAATTTGGTACTAGCTGTAGATTTTAAAAATTTAATCAGCTGGAGAACTTTCCTTTTACTTACTGAGAACTTTATAATAAATGGCTGTTGAATTTTGCTACTGACTTCTCATCTACTGGGATGCTCACATTATGCTGCTCTTCAATTCTGTTAACACAATGAATTACAGATTTATTTGAATTAAGCTAACATTGTACTCCTAGAACAAACCTCACTTTTTCATTGTTTATACATATCACTAGA